CTTTCTTAATCTCTAACTCAAATAGTCAACTTTCCAACTTGCTTTCCAGACAACTTGAATCATTTACCTTTTTTACTCAACTTATGTCTTGTTTCTGATCAGTGCTTAGTTTCTCCACGTTCATGCTTTGGTGCTTCTGATCTCAATTTGATCTCTCTAAAACTATATCATTCTTCTTCATCAGAATCCCCTTATCATTGTACCTCTTACAACTACCTTAAAGCTGACTGGGACTCTTACCGTGATTTTCTTCGTGATGGCCCTTGGGTAGAAATCTTTCCTCTTCCTGCTGACCAATGTGCTTTTTACATAACTTCTTGGATTCAGGCTGGCATGGAATCTTTTATTCCCTCTTAACAATTCCAGGTCCAGCTTCACTTTTTTACATGGTTTTCCTTGCATTGTGCTGCTGCAATTTCCAATTAAAACCATTACTTCTATAACTACCAGCAAAATAATTCTCTGAAAAATAGATGTCTGTTTTCTATCGCTAGACACCATTGTAAAAAGGTTTTGTCTAATGTCAAAGCCTGCTGTTCTCAGATCATGAAATCTTGTATTTCATCTCAAAAATTAGGCTCTCGTGACTTCTGGAGAATCTTTAACAGTATTAATAATAAGGGCAAATCTGTTATTCCACCTCTCTTGTATGGTTCAGATTTTGTTTTGTCACCTAATGACAAAGTTGAATTGTTTGCTAAAAACTTTTCATCAATATCATCTTTTGATTTCACTAGTTGTCTTTTACCTGATTTTGCCAACAATCAAGTTGATCCTTTGCTTGACATTTGTATCACTCCAGCTTCTGTATCTAAAATGATTTCCTGCTAAGACTCTTCTACAGGTTAAGGTCCGGATAACATACCTGTTATCTATCATAAACAAGGTTTTTGAATCTTAAATTAACAAACACTAAATCTCTCATCTTGAATCTAATAACTTACTTTCTGATCACCAATATGGATTTCGATCTTTTTGTTCTGCAGCTGATTTGCTAATAGTAATAACTGATAGGTTTTATTGTGCATTAGATAGAGGTAAAGAGGTTCATGCTCTTGACATTTCTAAAGCTTTTGATAAAGTTTGGTATGTTGGTCTTCTCTATAAGCTTTCTTTTTACGAAGTATTAGGTAAAATATTTAAGATTATTGAATCATTCCTTTCCAATCATAGTATAAAAGTTGTCATCGATAGACAACACTCTTCTTCATATCCTGTAACTATGGAGGCTCCTTAAGGTTCTTTCTTTTCTTGGCCCTATACTCTTTCTAATTTACATTAAAAATCTTCCAGATATTGTTGTGTTAATAATCTTCCGGATATTGTTGCATCCTTGATGGACAGCACTCTTTTTCATTTCCTGTAACTTTAAAGGTTCTATTCATGGCCCTATGCTCTTTATAATTTATATTTACAATCTTCTAAATATTGTTGCATTGTTTGTTGATGATACTAACATTTATTCTTGTCTTGATAAGAAGCCAACACTCTGTGATTGTTTGGAGGGGGCATTGAGCTTGAAAAGGATTTCAAGCTCAAATGCCCCCTCCAACTTTTGACTTTTGCTACAGCATAGGCTCACAGTGGCTGGTGATCTTTAATTCAGATAAAACCCAATCTGCTAAATTTCATTTAATTTTTACTCTTCTAGTTTTGAGTGATTTTTAAAAAAATATAGCAGCGTTAAAGCAAAGACAGATGCACAACATTTTAGATTTTTTTCTACAATTGATTTTACGATGTCTGGTCCTGGAGATTTATATTCATTTAACTGAAGGCGTTTTACTTTAGTTAGTTTCACAGTTATTATATAATCTAATAATGTTTCACCATCGAAAGATAAAATGTAAGCAGTTTGGACCTGCTGTATGTTTATGTGTATTTAACTAGCCAAGCCTGATATGAACAATTCTCACCTAAGGATGCATTTTCCTAATATATTTTTTGCACTTTATTTCTTAAAATGTGCGCTCTAATGTTTAGGAAAAAGTATAAATAAAAGAAAAGATTGCTGCCCCAGCCCTAACCCTTAGTCACTGTAGCTGCACTCTTACTAGCAGCAGATTATAAGATTGATGATGTATGTACTGAAGCCCTCACAGCTACCTATTTCAGTGTTCGTCTAATGCTGTTCATACATAAATGTAATATATATATATATATATATATATATATATATATATATATATATATATATATATATATATATATATATATATAATACATATATATATACGCATATATACATATATATATATATATATATATATATATATATATATACGCATATATATATGCATATATATGTATATATATATATATATATATATGTATATATATATATATATATGTATATATATATATATATATATATGTATGTATGTATATATATATATAAATATATATATATATATGTATGTATATATATATATATATGTATGTATATATATATATATATATGTATGTATATATATATATATATATATATATATATATATATATATATATATATATATATATATATATATATATATATATATATATATATATATATATATATACCTATAATAATGGTGTTAAATGTACAGTTTGTGGTCAAAAACAGCCTGTAGCTTTTTTTAGCTAATTTAAGTAGTATTTGTTTTATTAATTTAATTAAATATTAGTTTTCTTTTTTCTTAAATATACAATGATTTAGTTTGAAATTTCTCTTTATGTATTAATGTTAACCAATGCTACCCTTGCTGTGTACCAATGCTCCCCATTCATTGGTACAAAAAACTATATTTTGAAAATTCAAAAGGATTGTACTTAAACATTAATTTTTGTAAACATAAATTATATTTAAATGCTGCAAACACATTGGAAAATTAGCAATATATATATATATATATATATATGTATATATATATATATATATATATATATATATATATATATATATATATATATATATATATATATATATATATATATATGTATGTATATATATACATATATATATATATATATATATATATATATATATATATATATATATATATATATATATATATATATATATATATATATATATATATATATATATATATGTATATATATATATGTATATATATATATATATATTTATATATATGTATATATATATATATATATATATATATGTATATATATATGTATATATATGTATATATATATATATATATGTATATATATATGTATATATATATGTATATATATATATATATATATATATATATATATATATATATATATATATATATATATATATATATTTCTGAGTATACATTTTTGGATACGAGTTATTAAAAAAAAATTATTTGCAGTCTATAAGTTGCTTTTAATATAATTTTTTAAAACTTTTTTTTTTAATGAAAGATCTAAAGAAATACATTTTTTAATATTTTAATATAGCTGATATTAATGTTCTGTTTTTAAAAAATATTTAAGAAAAATAAATTTAAAAAAATATGTAATAATAAAATATTTTTTCAAAATTTTAAAAGAACAATAATTTAAAGCTTAGTTATACTTTTATTTCAGTTAAAATTAAATAATTTTTATTGATTTACTTAATCTATTAAATCTCACATTAATAGGGTTCTTAATTTGGATTAATTTTTTTTAATTTATATTAATTAAAAGGTCTTTTAAGCAAAATTTTAAAACATAGCAGACAACTGAATGTTTAATAAAATTCAAATATATTAAATTAAGTTACCAAGTTTAAAACTTTAAAAATATTTTTAAAGTATTAAAAAATATTTTTAACATATACTAAAAATAATATTAGTTTTATGATTTTATTTGTAACAGCAATATAACATGCAATAAAAAATCTCAAATTTTGTAAGTATATTTTCTTAAATAATGTTGAAATCCAAAACCAAGTTGCCAATTCTACTGAAATATTGATGGTTATTCATTGAATTACAATGACAATGTACAAAATACATGAAACATTGTTAATACATATTTAAATTATTTTTTTTTTTTCAGTGTTAAAAAAATTGTTTGAGTTGATTTCTTGATTAAATTGTAAATATTTTTGGAAATCTTTTATTATTTTAAAACAAAGTTAAAGTATTTTGATTTTTTTTTTTGCTACACAAAGTATTTCTTAATTTTTTTGCTAAATAATATTTGTAGATTACACCTTACTTATAAGTTACTATATAAGATTTTTTTTATAAAGTTTTAAGTTGTTATCTGCTAAAGATGAATTTTAATACAAATAATTTTCATTTGATTTGCAGCTTTACCTGTTTTTTTTTTTTTTTTTTTTTTTTTACTGATGGCTGTATCTTGTTGAAAAGTTTTATTGCTGATGCATTGATATATATAACTTTCAAAAGTTTGTTTTTGTCCATGCAATTCATTTGATATTTATCATAAATTTTTCTGATTCAGTTTATTATAGCCACAGTCATATTTGTTTATATAAGTTTAAAAACTAATTTTTTGCGTTTAAGTATATCAGGATTAGTTAAGTAATTTAGATATTTTATTTACTCTGTTCTTTTCAAATGCATATCATAAATTATAGGCTATGTTTATCAAATTGTAAATCAGTGTACATCCATTGAATGATAACTATAAATAAGTGTATGAAATTCACACCTCCTTCCTAACCAATGTCGCAAAACTTGCCCAAAGGTGGGGTTTGAACTAGGGGTATTTTGTTTCTGAGGCAAGTGCGTTACCACTGCGCCATGACTGCAATTCATTGGCTAACAAATAAGGATAAACATGATATACTGAGTTAATTAAGGAAATGCTTGTTTTTGCAATCATAAATTTATTGGTGCAATAAAAGTTACCATTAAAAATGGTTAACATTTCTTTGGTAATTTGTAATTTATTCACTTAGTTTCAATTTAAATTTATATTGGAACATATAAAAAATTTGAATTCAATGTCTCAACAAGTTTGATGAAATCTTTATGCTCTTTTTTATTTTTATATTTTTTTTTTTAGTAATTTCATAATGAAAGTATTTAATTTTAAAATTAAAAAAAAATATTTCCATATCTTGAAATAATTACGAAACCAAAGAATGGCAAATGAAAGTATAGATTATTATATTACTGCATTACAAACACAAGACACACACAAAAGACTTAAAGTTGCAGAGAATTTGACAAAATATTTGCAATCTTCAGCATTTAATCAACTTGATTCTGGACAACTTATCGATGGATTAATGTCATGGATACTGAGTAGCAATTTTAAGGTAGTCTTTTAATGTGTTAAATTAGTTATTATTAATATATTATTGTCTTAAATTATTGCCTATATTGCTCATAAACAGTGACAAACCAAAATGTGTTTCTGGTAACTCTAAGATTCTCATGGGATATAAAAACTGAAAATAATTTAATTATGTAATAATAACAAAATTTAAGTAAACTTGGATTTATCTTGTATTAAAATTCTTTGTGTTGATAATGAGATACTCCATATAGAAATGGGACAGGCATGTAACCCATTATCTCAGATTTTTTTATTCTTTGTAAAAATATTTGCATACATCACATAAATTACCTTATCAGTCATATCCAATTGAATTATTGAGATAACTTAAACTTAAGTCTCGACAAAAAGTCATTTAATTTTGATCACATAAAACAAGCAGCTGTTCTGAAATCTAATTTCTTTTCTGTGAAACCTTAGGATTGCAGTGTCATATAAATTTCAATCCCAAAACTATTGTTTACAGCTAATGATTGTCACAATTTTGTTGATATTCCTATATTGATGGTAATAATATATGATAGCACCTGAATACTCTACTTTATGTCTTCTTGGATTATCCATCAATACTAACTCATGGAAATTATATTTTAATCTATTGTAAAGTTAAGATTTACCAGATTTTTTTTGTTGTTTTGTTGTTTGTTTTTTGTTTTTTTGTTGTTTTGTTGTCTCTTTTTATTGTTTTCCATTTTCTTACTTCTACTTCCTTTCTTTATTTTTATAAATCTATTTTGTTTTTGTATGGAATACTGTTGTCATATTTAGGCAGTTTCTTTTAATGAGGCTCATTCTCTTCTAGACAAGGTCCAAAAATGTGTAGAAATTGCTGTTGGATCTATTGTAGCTGCCAAACCTGAGTTTCAGTAAATTCAACATTTTATCATTTTTGATTTAGACTTCGATTGGATGCTCAAAACTAGCCCTGAAAACAAGTCTTACAAAATATAATTCCAACTATTGGTTAGATGTGATCCAGTGGATCACATCTGACATTGCTCGTATTTTCGCAAAAAAAATTTCATTTGAACTGTATCCCAAAATCTTTAGAAGGATAGTATAAAATTAAAAAATGCTTGCTTTTTTTGTACCATTTAAAAAGTAACTGCAAGATATAAGTGTATATAAAATAACAACAGGATGTAAGTGTGTTGTTTTCAGTGAGAACTCCACATTTCATCTTTTATGACAAGTTTAAAATTTTACCGACCAGAACAATAATTTCATTTTGAAATATGGTAGAATTTAATTAATTCAAATATTCACTTTGTGGTTTAGAAATGAATGAGTGGGTTTTCATATATAACCAATGTGTTTTACAGATATAGGTATCATAATTACTTTTGGACTAGGAAAAAAACATTATTTTGGCTTCAAATAAACAGATTTGGGAAATTCTATTTTGGACTGAAGTTATTCTATTTTAAATTCAAAAAATAATTCTTTTAAATTAGCAAGAAGTAATCGCTTTGGTATTTGTTAATTTTTGGATACATTTACAAAGTTTTTAATACCTGGCAATTGACTTGACTGAATTGATTTAAGTTAATTCTAACATTATTAGTTTTTTTCTAAGAGTTTTTATATAGTATATAGAATATCTGAGACAGTGGTTTATAAACCTAGATAGTCTAACTTGCTTTCATCTAAAAGTTTTATAGTATTGTAGTATTTATCTTCAATTTAAAGTTATTTACTGTTAAGTTATTTTTAAATTGCTTATTTAATCAGGAATTTATTTATAGAAGTTTTTTATGTTAACTTAAGTTTAAGTTTTTACTACAAAGCCATTTTTTTGTATAATTTTTTTATTCAACGCAACTAAAATATTTGTAGGTGTCAAGTCAAGGATTAGAGATATTAGGTTTATTGGCATATCAAATGGGACCTTCTTTTAAAACACATATTAATTCTAGTAAGGATTTTTTCAATTATGCATGTATATTGTTAGAAACATAAAATTATGTTTTAAAAAATATTAAATTTAAAATTTAATAATTTTTTGTTATTTACTATTTTAATAATATTTAATTTAGAATTAATTTAGAATTAATTTAGAGTTGCTTATTTTGTTTAAATTACACAATAGAGCATCTTACACTCCAAAATTTATTTGTTGAATCCAACATGGGTTTAAACTAGAAATTTTTATAAGGTGTATGAAGCTTGCATTTTAAACAGGGAGGTTTAAACTGAAGTCTCTTTATTTTTTATCTTTACTTCCGACAAGACTGCAAGCAACCACTATTAGAGATGGAAGTTACTGGAAGAGAAAAGATGAAGTTTTTAAAGCAAGATAATGATTAACAGAGGGCTTGAAAAATTGCAAATTATATAAATCAGGAAAACGAAATTAAGGTAGCGAATTCCAAAGAACTGATGTTTGAGGAAAAAAACTAGACAAAAAAGTATATATGGAGCACTTAGATGCAAGCACAGTAAAATGATGAGACTCAATAGTGTTATGAGTAACACAAGAATAAATTTTAGTAGATGCCACAAGAGATGCTAGCTCTTTAGAGGAGCACCCATTGTAGTATTTATAAAAAATAGAAATAGAAGCAACATTACAACAATGTGACAATGGTTGAAGGTTGGCTGCAAGAGCATGTCTAACTATGTTTACAACATGTTTTTCCAACTTGTCTTAAAGAGAAAGGGCATCATTTTAAGCTCCATTCCAGATATGGTAACAACATTTCATACAAGGGCAGATTAGAGTTTTATAAATATTAGAGACCCTTTAAATGTTCAAGGGTGTTAGGGCTCCTCCAAAAATATTTTTTGTTCAAAAAATGTTTAAATCTAGTGTTATTTTATTATAAATAACACATTTAGAACTCAGACAAAGCAGTTTTTAAAAATTGTTGTTTATGATGTACCCTAGCAAGCACAATAATGAGTTGCAACTTTAGCAGATGCTAATTTTGCGATCGATTTGATATATAGTTTTCAAGAAAGATTAGAAGTAAGAGTTAATTCTATAAGATGAAGGGATGACTCAATGTCCCTTAGTAAATCTTTAAGTAATCTTAAGGAATGACTAAAAGTCATTTAGTCTAAAGGATGATTAGGAGTCAATGAGTCTAACAATTTTTTTGATTAAGATATCTATTTCATTAAAATGCCATTTACAGGTTTTTAAATGTGATTTTTTTTTTTTTTTGCAAGTAAGGTTTTTGTGAAGATTTTATAAACCAAGTAAAGTTGGCAGAAGCCAAGTGAATAACAAAAAAAGTCAAACAGCTCATACAAAATTATACAAAAATGTTTAAGTTCAAAACATACATCATAATAATTTTATTGTATTAACTGGTTACCAATGTATTGGCTATGCTGCTTTTTAATCAAGAAAGACTGTTAATTGTATTTTCAGAAGTTTCTGTTTTGATTTTAGAGATTGTGAAATCATTGCTTTAATTGCAGACAGTTAAAAATATGTTTAAGGTATTTAAATATTTTTAACTATTCTGTCATGATAAGAAAGAATACAGTATCTGCAATTTATATTTTGTAGAATATACATTATGGAAATCATTCTCATAAGCGTTCTTGCAGATACTGTGAAATTGAAACATCTAAAGTAGATACTTAAAGATCACATAGAGTTTTCTTACTTTAACGCCAGATCAAAATAATAAAAATGCATAGTATTACCCAAATTAAAAAGTTCTGAAAAATTGAGTTACTGTTTTTTCTCACCAGAGAAGTATTCTAAAAATTAAATAGTTTATTAATAATTGGTTAACTAAATTAAATTAAATAGTTTATGTAATAATTGGTTAACTAAATCAAGTATAATTGATTAACTAAATCAAGTATAATTGGTTAACTAAGTCAAGTATAATTGGTTAACTAAATCAAGTTGATTAACTAAATCAAGTAACAATTGGTAAACTAAATCAAATTGAATAGTTTATCAATAGTTGGTTAAGTAAATCAAATTTCTCACATCCCATCGTGAGTCAAATAACTTACTGTCAGACAATCAATATGGTTTTTCGATTCTCTCGTTCTATGGCTGAGTTGCTAACTACTGTGACTAAAAGATTTTATCATGTATTATGGAGGCGAAGAGGCTAGAGCTATTGCTCTTGACATATCTAAAGCTTTCGACAAAGTTTGGCATGCTGGTCTTTTTTATAAACTTGTTTCATATGGTGTATCTGGAAAAGTTTTTGAGATTATCAAATCATTTCTTACTAACTGCTTTATTAAAGTCATCCTCCAAGGCCAATACTCTTCTTTATTACCAGTAACTTATGGGGGACCTCCTTGGTCCTTTTCTAATTCTTATCTACATTAATGATTTTCCAGACAACCTTACATCTAAGGTAGCTCTTTTTGCTGATGACTCAACTTTATACTCCTGACTCGACAAAAAGTTTTCTCTTTTTGATTGCTTAGGTGGCCGATCTTGAATCTGATTTCACTTCTGTAACAGATTGGGGCTCACAGTGGCTCGTAAATTTTAACTCCAATAAAACTCAGTTATTTACTGCAAACAACTATCGCATTACTGTCGGCATTCCTAAATTAATGAATAGCAACCCTTTCACTGAGTCCTCCTTTTTATGTTTTCTTGGATTATGCTTTATTACTGACTTTATAGAAACCATATATACAATTAATTACTAAATTAGCATCTGCTTTCCAATTGTTGTAGAGTTGCATCTCTTTCTCTTTTCTACAAATACTACCATGTTCGCTGCTCAAAGGAGCTATCTTTTTTATTTCCATAAACTAAAACACATTCTCGCTTGACTCCTCATTCATCAAAGTCTCACTCTTTTAGTGTATCTGTCCCTGCATGCTCTAAAAACTTTTATTCATCTAGTTTTTTCCCCCGCACTTTAACACTTTGAAACTCTCTTCCATCTTCATGTTATCCTGACTCAAAAAAACCTTCAACTTTTTAAGTCTTCTATCAACCGTTTCCATGCTCTGTAACTCTATTATTTTTTTCTAGTTAATCCCAACTTAATAGTGGTTGCTTGCAGCTTTGGTGGGAGTGAATCAGAATTTAAAAAAAAATATATATATCACAGAGGAGAGTATGTTAAATGCATTGCTATGAGATTTATTTTATATTATCAACCCTCAAAATTATGGTTGGCATTTGGCAATGCCAACCTAACTGCCAACTTAAAAGTGTTTGAGTTGGCATAATATTGTCCACCTTGTTTCTATGTTTTATGATAAGGCCTTATGATAAGTTTTATGATAAGGTACAAAAGATTGAGGTCGGCAAATTATTGCTGACCTAGTTTTTCCTAATTCCAAGGGTTATTTTATATATTTATATATTGTTGTTTAGAAATTATTAAAGATTTATATTCTTATTAAAAATTTATATGGTAAAACTAAATCCATGTAATAAAAGTGGTAGAACTAAATGGTGGAACTAAATCCATGTAATAAAAGTAAAGAAATCAATTCAAAATGATGTTGTAACACTAATCTTTAAATCCAATTGAGGAATTTGTTGCTCTTTTACATGAGTAGTTAGTTCAATACTTAGCATTGCTCAAAAGTCATGTTAAATGAAAAAATATCAGATTAATTATATATCAAATTATTTTTAAAAACTGTGAAAAAATTAATTTTATACTAAAAATATTTGTTTTTATAGAATAAAATCTAAAAATAATATTCTATTTATAAAATTTATTACAGGCCTTGTTAAGAAACAATATGTTATTTAAATTTTACATACGAAATGACGATTTCATCTACACGTTGAGACATTTATGTTATGCCAAAACTTTTTTCAATTAGAATATTTAAACTTAGTAGAAGAGTTGATGTGGAAATTAATTGTTGCAAAAAACATTTTCACTGCAGTTGTGAAATAAATTTTTTTATAGATGAAAATACAGATAGTTATATAAATTTCTTTTCTCCTTTCCTTTTTTAAAAAATTTCAAATTTTATTATATTTTAAATTACATTTAATAAAATATTTTTTTTTTATCTAATATAATTTTATTTACTTTTTAATGTTTGTTTTACATTCAACTATTTTTTTATTATTTATTTTTTATTAATTTTTATATATTATTTATATTTCAAGTCAATACATTTTTTTCATTCTGTTCCAAAGGTGTAATTATATAAGTCTTAAAGCACTTTTAACTGTATATAAATGAATTGCCAGATAAATCATAATCATACCAGTTGGCAAAATTTTTGTAAAGAAATTTTTTAATGAATTTTATATAACAAATTTATAACAAGATGATTTTTTTTTAATTTTAAAAATGTTTTTAAAAATTTTTTTCATTATCATTAAATTTTGGATTATTCTTAAAATGAATGTCAATTAGAAATAATTAATTAGTTTATGAGAAGTACAGAAAGATTTTGTTTATGCCAAAATGTTAAAAAAAATATTTTTATCAGTTTTTTTGACCGTTAGGAAATTCACCCTTTAATAAGGTAATTGCTTGGGCTATAAAACAGTGTACTGAGTACTATCTATGTTTCGAGTCAAGTTCTTTAACAAAATTAAAAATGAATAAAGTAACAAAAACTATAAAACACAAAAAACCACAGTCATCACCAAGTTCGCTAAACCTATCATTCACCAATATTCGTGGTCTTCGAAGTAACTTTTCTTCTGTTAAGTCTTATCTCTTGCAAAGTTCACCAGACCTACTTGCTCTTTGTGAGACTAATTTGAGTTCAGCTGTCTCATCTTGTGATCTTAGTGTTGATGGTTATCTTCCTTTAATTCGTAAAGACTCCAATAGTCACATGCTTGGCCTGGGCATTTACATTCGTAAGCATTCACCCATTTGTCAGGAAACTAGGTTTGAATCCACAGACTACTCTTTAATGTGCTTTCGTTTAGCACCACTTCCCTCTATTGCCTTTCTCTTTGTTCTATATCGCTCTCCTTCATCTCAAGACTGCACTCTACTTGATGTTATTTCTGATTATATTGACCAAGCCCTTATTCTTTATCCATCAGCCAATATTGTTGTTGTCGGCGACTTTAATGTTCATCACACTGAATGGCTTGGCTCTAGTGTCAGTGACTCCGCAGGCATTAAGGCCCACAACTTTTGTCTTTCTCAATCCCTAACTCAAATAGTCAACTTTCCAACTCGCTTTCCAGACAACCCGAATCATATACCTTCTCTACTCGACTTATGTCTTGTTTCTAATCCTAGTCAGTGCTCAGTTTCTCCACACTCACTTTTAGGTGCTTCTGATCATGGTTTGGTCTCTAAAACTATTATCTCATTCTTCTTTACCATCAGAATCCCCCTATCATTGTACATCTTACAACTACCTTAAAGCTGACTGGGACTCTTTTCATGATTTTCTTCATGATGGCTTCTTTCGTCTTCCTGTTGACAAATGTGCTTCTTACATAACTTCATGGATTCAGGCTGGCATGGAATTCTTTATTCCCTCTCGACGATTTCAGGTTATGCCTCACTCTTCTCCATGGTTTTCCTCACATTGTGCTGCTGCAATTGCCAATCGAAACCATTACTTCCATATCTATCAGCAAAACAATTCTCCAGAAAACAGACGTCTGTTTATTACTGCTAAGAGTCATTGTAAAAAGGTTTTGTCTAACGCCAAAGCCCGCTATTCTCATATCATGAAATCTCGTATTTCATCACAAAAATTAGGCTCTTGTGACTTTTGGAGAATCTGTAATAGTATCAATAATAAAGGAAAGTCATAAGCAAGGTTTTTGAATCTTTAATTACAAAACACTTAATCTCTCATCTCGAATCTCATAACCTACTTTCTGATCATCAATATGGATTTCGATCTTCTCGTTCTACGGCTGATTTGCTAACAGTAATAACCGATAGGTTTTATCGCGCATTAGATAAAGGTGGAGAGGTTAAGGCCATCGCTCTTGACATTTCTAAAGTGTTTGAAAAAGTTTGGCATGCTGGTCTTCTCCATAAGCTTTCTTCCTACGGTGTATCTGGAAACATCTTTAAGATTATTGAATCCTTCCTTTCCAATCATAGTATAAAAGTTGTCCTCGATGGACAGCACTCTTCTTCTTATTCTGTAACCTGAGGGGTTCCTCAAGGTTCAATCCTTCGCCCTATACTCTTTTTAGTTTACATTAATGATCTTCCAGATTTTCTCACATCTAAGGTGGCATTGTTCGCTGATGATACTACCATTTATTCTTGTCATGATAAGAAGCCAACTCCCTCTGATTGCTTGCAGGGAGCATCTGAGCTTGAAAAGGACCTCACTTCTTCTACAGCATGGGGCTCACAGTGGCTGGTGAACTTTAATTCAGATAAAACTCAATTTTTTTCAGCCAATTGTTATCGCAATAATTTAGACCTTCCTATATTTATGAACGGTAATGTACTCGATGAGTCTCCTACCCTTCATCTTCTAGGATTAACTCTTACTTCTGATCTTTCTTGGAAACCTTATATCAAATCCGTTGCAAAATTAGCATCTGCTAAAGTTGCTTCTCTTTATCGAGCTCGTCACTTTCTTACTCTGGACTTCTTACTCTTTATATGGAATACTTTTGCCATATCTGGGGTGGATCTTCTAATGATGCCCTTTCTCTTTTAGACAAGGTGCAAAAATGCATTGTAAACATAGTTTACTCTTGCAGCCAACCTTCAACCTCTGTCACATCGTCGTAATGTTGCTTCTCTTTCTCTTATCTACAAACTATAATGGGCACTGCTCTAATGAGCTAGTGTCTCTTGTACTATCTACTAAAATTCATTCTCGTGTTACTTGTCATTCAATTAAGTCTCATCCTTTTTCTGTTACTGTTCCTAAGTGCTCCAAAAACTCATATTTGTCTAGTTTTTTTCCTCGAACATCAGTTCTTTGGAATTCGCTTCCTTCATCTTGCTTTCCTGATTCATATAATTTGCAATCTTTTAAGTTGTCTGTCAATCGTTATCTTGCTCTACAATCTTCATCTTTTCTCTTCCAGTAACTTCCAACACTAATTAGTGGTTGCTTGCAGCCTTGTTGGAAGCAAAGATGTTTAAAAAAAAAATAATAATAATTTTCCCCTCATTAAATAAAAACAACTAAATTGTGAGAAAGCAAACATGAGACCATGTTGTGTTATAAATGTTTTAAGAAATAAATGTATAAGTTTAGATAAGTTTTTTAAAATAAGGAAATTTTTTCTACAGACAACATATTTAAATTTTATTCCTATTTTTTTTATATCAACATTGTTTCATTTAAAGATATTTTATAGAGATAGAGACTTAAAATGATTTTTAATGTGGTTTCAAATTAAATTTAATTACAATGTGGTACTTAAAATATGCAACAAATGTAATTCGACAAAACAAAATCTTATAACAAAGCCTGTTATTATTTCTTTTAAATTGGTTATTATTTTTAAAATTAATTTTTGTAATTTTGCTTCTTTTGAAGCCAGGTTGACATATTTAAAGAATTTTTTTTTGTTTTTGATAAAATATATTTTCTATGATAACAATAACTCATCTGATGTTTAAGGGTAGCTAAATTTGAATTTTATAAAGATATTTTAGATACATGTCATTTTATTACAGAGAATGCATTTAAGGGAGGAAAGATTTTCTCAAAAAAAAAAGAACCACTTTGTTATATACAACTATTTCTGACTATTCTTGTAATAGTTGTTGAAATTAGTTGTCATAGTTGTCATAGGTGTTGAAAGCTATATTAGCAATTAACATAATTCACTCATATTTCTAGAATATACATTTTGGATTGTGAAAACATAAAAAATTACTCATTATACTTACGAAAGGAATTTTAAAACATTTTCTTATTTTTATTTTTTATTATTTATTTACTTTTTATTTCAATTTTATTTTTTTTTTAATTTTAGAGTTTAAAAAAAATAGATTGCTTATGCTCTTTGACATTTGTTGATGACAGCATAAACAAATGATTTGTTGATGACTTATACAACATAAAAAAATGATTTGTCTTATGTACTCCTTTTTGTTGTTGATATTTATTGATAACTTATACAACACAAACAACTGATGTATGTACTCCTTTTTGATGTATTTTTAATCATAATTGCTTCAATGAAAAACTAACTTTTAAATATAATATATTTAAATTATATGACTGTTCATATTTATTTTAAAGCTTTTAAAATAAAGAATTGTTTATTACTAGTACTTAAAATGATGATAATAATAATAATAATAATAATAATAATAATAGTAATAATAATAATAATAATAATAATAATAATAATAATAATAATAATAATAATAACAATAATAATAATAATAATAATGATAATAATAATAATAATAATAATAATAATAATAGTAATAATAATAATAATAATAATAATAATAATAATAATAATAATAATAATAATAATAATAACAATAATAATAATAATAAAGGTGATGAAAATAAATCTTGATATATTCTTTTAAATATTATATTTAAATTTAGCTCTAGCAACAGTTGTCGACAGACTTGGGGATTCAAAACAATTGGTATGTTGCAAATTTTTTTGTTATTTTTTTAATTGTTTGTAAACTAAACAATATGTTTTACGATATATTAAATGTTTGTGAACTAAACACTTTGTTTTTATGATATATTAAATGTTTGTAAACTAAAATGCTATGTTTTACGATATCGCATGTATAAACTTCTTTAGGTACGAGATCAAGCTTTGGATGTTCTTTTTAAATATATGGATCCTGTATCTAAACCACAGGTCAGTTACAATTTTTTTTAGTGATCAATTAAATCCTCAGTTAATAGATGTTATTTTATGTTTGAAATTCTCAGTTAATAAATTTCTTATTTAAAATTCTTAGTTAATAGATTTTTTATTTGGTTTAGGCTATTTTTGATCTTCTAGTGCCATTTTTTAATCATAAAAATTGGAGAGTCAGGGAAGTTTTAATGATTTGTTTAACACAAGCTATTAATAGGTCAGTTTTTTTTTTTACAAACTTGCACTACAACTTAAAAATTTTGTAATAAAAATGACTTATATAAGTTTTCACATTTTCACACAAAGTCTTAAGTGTTATTTAAAATAAAATGTTGTTCAGTTATATTTATTGTTTATATATGTTGATTAGATTTTTTAAGAACTATTCTATTTTGGAGGGGTCAATAATATATAATATAAAATTATACTGGAATAGTTGCTAAAATTTTCTACAAGTTAAAATGCTAAAAATTTAAAAAGGGCTTGATTATGTACATTTATAATATGTAATTCAAAAAAAATATAATTAATATGTAATGTATTTAGAAGCAAATACTAAACAAATACCAAATAATAATAATAATAATAATAATAATAATAATAATAATAATAATAATAATAGTAATAATAATAATAATAATAATAATAACAATAATAACAATAATGTTAATAATGTTTTAATGCCTCAATATAATGAGCCTAAATTCTTTCAAAATAATGCCAAATTGGCATTCTATAATGTCATCTGATACTAATGTCACCTGGCAATATTGTACTGGTAGTGGTTTATTGGTTGTTAATATTAATCTAATAGCATAATTTTTGTTTCCTTGTTTAAATATTGTTTATTTTTTATATGTTTTTCTTATTAGTCAATAGTTTTATTGTTTTATTAAATATATTTTATAATTAATATAGTATTGTGTAAATGTAATATATTAAGTTTAGAAACATTATTGTTATATTTTAGGTTTGGTGCATCATCAATGCAAATCAGTAAATTTACACCATGTCTTGTAAAATTGTTAAGTGATCCTACTGGTCAGGTAAATGATATTTTTGAAAGTTAATACTCATACAAATACCTAACACCTAGTATCTGTTGTATCATAAAAAAATGACTTTAGGAACCACTAGTTAATGTTTTTAGCAAACATCTTAGTGGTCCCTAAAAACTTAAATATATCAATAAATTAATTTTTATTTAAAAAATTAAAGTTTAAAAAGTTATCTTCTTACTATCAGACCTTTGTTTTGAAAAAGTTTTTTTGATATCTGTTGACTTAAATTGCTATTAATTTTATTGCATTATTTTATTAATTTGAGTTCTTATTTTAAATTAATGTTTAAATGCACAATTTAGTTTATTTGTTACATTTATTTTGAACAAGTTCACTTTAAATAAAGCTACAAGCAACCACTATTTAAGTTAACACGATTAAAATTATTATAAAATCAGAATAGAGAGTTAAATAAATTCCATGAGTCAGGAAAATGTGAAAAAGTGGAATTTGAAAGCATTCCAAAGCATTAATTCCAATGCATTGATGGTTGAGGAAACAAACTAAATAGGTTTTTAAGCGTGAAACAGTAGTTGCAGTAAAAGGATAAAATTTGTCAGTGGCATGATATTAGCTTTCTGTCGCATTTGACAAGTTGCGTGATATTGGCTTTTGGTAAAGCAAGATGTGATAGTTTGCTTGAGCACCTAGAATTGTAATATTTGTAGAAAAGATAAAGAATGCAACTTTACAACGATAGGCTTGATAGGTTCAAGCTCAGTACTAAAGCAAGCCCCAAAATATTTACAATCCATTTTTGGACTTTTTAAAGTAAAAGAACATCTTTTAAAGTATTTTTTACAAGGATGGATCAGAGACTTATAGAGGTAGAGAAGAGCACTTAGAGTTAGAAAATGCATTTAGAGTTAGAAAATGCATTTAGAGTTAGAAAATGGTCTTAATGATATAGAGACAATTAGCATTTAGCATAATATTTTAAAAAGCATTTAGAGTTAGAAAATGGTCTTAATGATATAGAGAGACAACTATAATAAACTTTACAATTATTCAATAGATGATTCCATGAGAGGATGTTAGTAAAAGATAGTCCATGAAAATGTAAAGTAGTTGCACTTTTAGTAAGAGTGTTGTTATTTATAAGAAAATCAACATTGTAATAATTGTTACGATTTAACAACTGACTCCTTTTTAGGTTAAAATTCACCAATCTCTGCAAGGCCCAAGCAGTTATAGAAGTAAATAGAGCCACATTAGTGTTAAGATTAATATAGATAAGAAGCATAACAGGAGCAAATTTGGAACCTTGTGGTATCCCAAAGGTTAGTGCAAATGATGCAAGTGTTATCCGTCAAGGACCGTTTAATACTGTGAATAAGAAGCCTATAATATTTCAAGAACAATAATCTTTACCTCATTGCTTCTATTCAAATCTTTCTATTTTAAATAAATTTTTTTGCCTTTTTACTATTGTCTGCTGTCAGTAAAGGCTATACAGAATATCTTGCATCTTAAATTTTTTACTTATTTATGGTCTTTTGTTCATCTCCTAAATGCAGTAACATCAAACAGAAATCTAAATATTGTTATAGCAGTCATCAATCTTACAGTTTTAATTTCTTACAAAATTAGTTATAATATACTTATAAAAAAAGTACATTAAATTAATTTTTTTTAAAGTTATTTTAAATATTTTATAAATAGTTATTAAAATCCTCATTATTCTGATTAATATATTACCAACCCTCCGAATAAGAAAAAAAGAGGTCGGCAATAGTTTGCCGACCTCAATCTTTTTTAGGTCAGCAAAAATTATTTGATACAAAGGCCATAAAACACAGAAATGAGGTCGGCAATTTTTTGCTGACCTCAAACACTTTCAGATTGGCAGTTAGGTCAATTAATTGACTTAACTGCCAATCTGAAACTGCCTCAGAATTAGGATAGGCATTGTCAAATGCCAACCCTAATTCTGAGGGTTGATATACATTACAATCTACTTTTGTTTTTGGTGCTTCCATTTTTTTCACATATTTTTCTATTTGATAAACTTAATTAAATGGTAATAACTAAAATTGAAATAATATAGTATAATAAAAATTGAAGTTAACTAACTATATTATAAGTATATATATGTATATAGCTATAACAATAATTATAAATATTTAAATTTATTAATCAAAATAATATATATAAGTCTAATTATAAAATAAAGTAGCTTAGAGATTATTAAAAAGTTATAAATTTACTTGATAAAAATGTGTTTTAGTTTCTGTGTAAAAAACATCTATTACTAATAAACAATAAAACATTTAGAAAAAAAAAAATTGAGATATAGAAAGTTGAGATTTTTTTTTCTCATATAATTTTAAATTATAACATTATTTTACTACAGGTTCGTGACACTGCAATAAGTACTTTAGTTGAGATTTATAGACATGTTGGAGATCGTTTGAGAGCAGATCTTTTGAAATATAACATGCAGGAATCAAAGTGAGTTTGTTTTTTATACTATTCTTAACACTTCAAAATAAATAGTATGGACTTATTTTAGGTAATATTGTAATATTTAATTGATATTTTAGGAAAAAATTATTTTTGAATCCGACAAATAAAAATGATTATTTTTACATAAGTAAGCACTGTTTTAATGCCTAGAGCATGTAAATTATCAAACATAATCATTAGACCATTACCACCAATTAATATTAAGATTAATACCACCAATTAATTAAAGTGACGGTGTAGTGTGACAAATGCTTACAATGTGACAAATGCTTACAAAGCATGTTCTACACACATGCTTTGTAAGCATTTGTCACATACCTGAGATACAAAGTTTAACTTGTTTATATTACTATATTAAAATAATAATATATAAATAAATATATAAATTTATTGCTATTATATTGAATATATTTAATTTATTGCTATTTTTTTTACAGATGTGAAAAATTTTAACTATAAAAAATAATAAACTATTTGATTATTATATATATATATATATATATATATATATATATATATATATATATATATATATATATATATATATATATATATATATATATATATATATATATATATATATATATATCTATATATATATATACAAATAGTATTGCGTACTAAGGTAAGCAATCTGACGTTATACTGAAATAGCCTGCTGCTGGGGGCTTCAGTACATACATCCACTGACAAATAGCCTGACTTGCAGTGGAGTGCTGCTACATCGACTGAGGGTTTGAGATAGGGAAGCAATCGTTTTATTCATCATTCTTTGTTTTTTCTTCTTCTTTTTTGAAAAAAACGGTATAGCTTAAAGTAAGCAGAAAAAGTGAGCAAATGCTTATCAAAACACGCTTTAGTAAGTGTATATATATACACACACATACACACACACACACATATATATATATATATATATATATATATATATATATACATATATACATACATACATACATACATACATACATACATACATACATACATACATACATACATACATACATACATACATACATACATACATACATACATACATATATATATATATATATATATATATATATATATATATATATATATATATATATATATTTATATATATATATTTATATTTATATATATATATATATATATATATATATATATATATATATATATATATATATATTTATATATATATATATATATATATATTTACTTCAATCCTTTGGAACTCTCTCCCATCTTCATGTTTTCCTGACTCATACAACCTTCAACTTTTTAAGTCTTCTGTCAACCGTTTCCTTGCTCTATAACTCTGTTCTTTTTTTTTTCCTAGTAACTCCCAACTTAATAGTGGTTGCTTGCAGCCTTGTTGGGAGTGAATGCAAATAAAAAAAAAAAATATATATATATATACATATATATATATATATATATATAAATATATATTTATATATAAATTATGTATATTTATATATATATATTTATATATAAATTATGTATATTTATATATATATATATTTATATATATTTATATATATATATATATATATATATATATATATATATATATATATATATATATATATATATATATATATATATATATATATATATATATATATATATATATATATATATATATATATATATATATATATATATAAATAAAGAAATAAATTTATTTATATATTTATATATTATTATTTTAATATAATATTATATATAATAATTATAATAATATATTATGCAAATGTATACATTACATAATTATAATTGTAATTTCTTATAATCTTAAAAATAATAAAAAATAAACTATTTGATTTAAAAATTTGGTTATAAGTTATATTAGAATAAGTTATAATGATGTCACTATATGAAATGAGAATAAGTTATAATTTTTTAGATTAACTAGTCTATTTGGTAAGTTTGATCAATTAAGTAAATCTGGAGACTTTGTTGACCACGGTGAGTTGCATAAATATTTTCTTTTTTTTAAAAGTTAATTAAAGATTAAAAGTATTTAGTCTTAATTTGTTTAATATTTGGATGACTCTTGAATTGTGAAAATTATCATTTGAAATTGTGAAAATTATCAAATTTATCATGAATGTGAAAATTATCATTTTTTGTTTAATAATTCATATGTGCTTATAATGTTATTTGAAACCATATTGATTTAAATTATCTTTTTAAAAAGTTAATCTTGCCAAAATGTTAGTGTGCAAATTATTATGTTGTCAGGAAATATTGTTGCCATTAATACACAATATGAAAAGTTGCTACAATAGATACAATAGAAAATCAATTATTACTTTAATCTTCCATTGTGATGTCTATTTTTAAATTTTATAGTTCTAGTATATTCATTGATTTGTAATTAATTAAGGATAGATTATATTTGAATGCATTTTTATGTAATTTTATTTAATGTTTTTTTTTTTTTTAATTTATTTGACATGTTTTCCTATTGTGAATATCAATTATATCTAAAATGACATAAATTGGATTAAATTGATTGAAACAATTTTTAGTAACATTTTTGTGTTTTTTTTTTTTTTTTCACAACAACAAAATTTAAGTTTTGACAAAAGTTAGTTAAAAACAAAATTAAAAAAAAAATAGTTAAAACAATATTGTTTTTTTTTTTTTTTTTTTTTTTTTTTTTTTTTTTTTTTTAATACAATTAAAATAAATAATTTGAATAGTAAGTTAAATTTTCAAAATAGTCATTGAGATAAGTATTGGATATATGATATTAAAATTAATTTAAAAATTTATATATAAAATAAATAAGATTTTACTTTTTTAAAGATTTTAAGCTTAACAAATTTCATACTACTATTTTCTGTATACATAATTGATTTCAAGATGTCTGTATTACAACTTTCCTTTATCCTAATATTGTTTTCCTGAATGAATTAATTCAAGGTTTTCCTTCAAATACTAATTTACATACAGTTCTCTGTATAATCAAATATATTTTTAACTTAAAAGAAAAAATGAAAGTTAAAAATTTTGAATGTCTGTTGTTAATTTGATTCTTTTTCTTTATGTGTTTGATTTTTGCTGTTTCAAACAGAATGTTTTTTTAATGCTTTTTTATTTGTTGACAAATATTTGTTGTTAAAATATTTATTGTTTAAATATTATTGTTTAAGTATTATTTGTCGGTTAAACAAGACTTGGCTGAGTTTTAAATATGTTTAAAAGTTTTTATTTTTATTTTTTATAATATTTATGAATTTAAAAGCAAAATGTTTAAACTTTGTATAGTAGATAATATATGTTTGATGTTTTATGATGAATGTCATGTAATTAAAAATATGTTTGGTTGTCTGATGTGTCAACTTATAATGTCAAATATATTGTTTTAATTATTGATGTTTTAAGTACACAAGAAAAGGGTGTTGTACTTTATTTTGTTTAAAAAGGTCTTATCTCTTATGTATTTTAAAATTAAAACACTTTAAAGATACAAAAGCAGCTGATGTTTTTCACATAAGATAGAGTTATGAGAGGTCTATTGCATAAAAAGTTTACTGAAGATGATGCATGGAACAATTTAAATTTTGATAAGCAACAAACAAATGATACTTTTGAATCCAATAACACAGATAATGTACTAGAATTTTCTTTGGTTGATTTTGAAATTGAATTAGATAAAAGAAAATACTTGGCTAAAGTTTATCAATCCTTATTCGCTTCTAAAGGTATTGTAATTGACTATTAGAAAACTCATGGTCAAATACTCAATAAGTAAACTTATAGCTAAACTAATATATATATATATATATATATATATATATATATATATATATATATATATATATATATATATATATATATATATATATATATATATATATTATGTATATGTATATATATATATATGTATATATATATATATATATATATATATATATATGTGTATATATATGTACGTAAGTATGTGTGTATGCATGTATGTATGTATGTATAAATTAAATACATACATACATATATATATATATATATATATATATATATATATATATATATATATATATATATATATATATATATATATATATATGTGTGTGTGTATATATATATATATATATATGTATATATATGTACGTAAGTATGTGTGTATGCATGTATGTATGTATGTATGTATAAATTAAATACATATATATATATATATATATATACATATATATATATATATATATATATATATATATATATATATATATATATATGTATATATGTATATATATGCATATATATGTATATATATACATATATATTTATATATATACATGTATATATTTATATATATGCATGTATGTGTATATATATACATATACATACATACATATATACACACATATATAATTTAGGTTGCAATGAGCCAAGTAATGAACAAAACTCTCCACCTCAAAAAAAAAAGGTATGATGTTTCCATACATACTATACAGTGTTTTTTTTATATATATTTATATAATATATATATTTATATAATATATATATTTATATAATATATATATTTATATAATATATATATTTATATAATATATGTTATATGTATATAGCCTTTAAAGGGTTCAGTCAATAGAAGTACCAGTTTTAGTCCTGGAGACAAGAAGAAACCAAGTGTTGAAAAGATGAATGCTGGTTAGTTTTTTTTTATTTGGATATAGGGTTAAATATTTTATCAATGGATATATTCTTTTTTGAATTTAATGTTTTTTTATTACATATAGTTGGAAATCTTTGATGATATAATAAGCTATTATTTCATTTTATAATGGGCTTCTTAAAGTATTCATGAAATTTACATAAATAATGCAAGAGATGTTCTCTTTAAATTTTTTTAAATCAACAATAAAATATTTTTTACAACTAGATCTAAAAATGCTGTTTAATAAATAATTAAATGAAGTTTAATATAGTAAATTAGGCAGTACTATTTATATATATTATGCAATCTTTATTATTATTATGTAAAAATTAATAAAAGAAAAATATGAAGTAAAAATGGAATCTTATGTATATATATGTAAATTTTTTGTATTTTTTTAACTAGATCAGTTCATCATGTGATAAAACTAAAGAAGTTTTTATTACATTATGATGAATATGTTTGAAGTTTTTTTTCCATTTTGATGTAATATATTGTAAATAAATGTTTTTATTTATTAATTTATTTAATAATTTTTATACTTACAACTGTAAAACAGATTTTTGTACAGCTTGCTTTTGTATAAAAGGTCGTTTTTAATTGAAAGATTTTTTAATAAAGAAAATATTAGAAATACATCTGATTATTGCTTATTTCTATATTTTAAAATTAAGTTTATCATCAATTATGACATCAGTTATTCTTGCATTATTGTGGTTTTTTATTCTTATTGTGGTTTATTGTGTATTCTTGAGCTTTCTTGTGGTTGTTTTGCTGAACAATTTGAGTAAAAAAAATTCCATGACATGCAAATTTTTAAGAACTTGATCCCACAGAAAAATTCTCTAATTGATCACAGTAGAAACTAAGCCACAAGTTTGACAATGGCATGCTACATTCTGTTTTATATTCAAGAGCTTTATTTTTGCACAATTCCGATGTTTAGTGATTTGTAGCATTAGTACTAGCCCCTCATTTGATCTGTGAAAATTTGTTTTTCCTGCAGGTAAATTGCCACCAGTTTTTATAAATGCTTTTTTAAAGGTGGGTTGTTTGCAAATAAATACAAAAAAAGTTTTATTTATTCACCACAAACATACTAAATAAAATTTAATGAATGTAACAAGGCACATACAAAATGAACTTATTGACATGAAGAATACATGCATTAGAGAATACTATCTGATTGTATTGTAAGAGCCTTGTTCTTGACATTTTTTTTAAAAATAATTTTAATTCACCTCCTTAAGGCCATGAAGGCTACTGCAGCCGAGGAGACTACTTTTAGTTGTGGTTATAACCCTCTCTCAACTCTATAACTCTGAAACACGAACCTTGATGAATAAGGCTGGTGCATGGAGAAACAAGTTGAAAGCAGTGCTACTAGGGTTGTGGTGGGGATCAAAAGTTAACGATTTGTCTTTAGTATTTATAATAAAATGATTGTGCTGCTTTTTTATTTTAAATAATACATGCACAGTATTTATTGACAATCAGCATTTGCAATATGTATGTGTGTGTGTATATATATATATATATATATATATATATATATATATATATATATATATATATATATATATATATATATATATATATATATATATATATATATATATATATATATATATATATATATATATATATATATATATATATATATATATATATATATATATATATATATATAAATTGTTGCGTATATTATTAAAACAGATATATCTATTTTAATAAAAATATATATTGTTACATATATTAAATAGATATTTCATATAACTTGATTATTTTTTAATCCTAAAATATTGTTTATTTCAAATTATTTACCTTGGTCTTTTTGCATTATGCTGGTTCATCACAACAGTAAGGTTCTTGCTTTTAGGTTTCTTTTTTTTTGTAGTTAAATAATTTTATTTAAATTTTATTTCATCAACAAAATTAATCAAGAGTTTTTTTTATTTGTTATTGTTTTTATAATGTTTAGGAATTTAGTGCTTTTTGGATATTTCATATTTTAGTTAAAATATATTTGTATTTGGTTTGCATTATAAAATGAGTTATTATTATTTTTCATAGTATCATCAGGTGCTGTAGATGAAACTGATTTTGTAACAGCTTGGGAAGAAGTTCCGGAACCAAAGGTCTTTTACTTTTTTTTTATTTGGTTTTGTTACTATTTTTGTAAATGAATGAATTTATTAAGAATAGAACTATTATTAACTTACTTATAGATATTTTCAATAAAAGAATTTCCTAATGAGCTTGACAGAATAAATTCAGTTCTGTCTGATCCAAATAATGATTGGGAAAAGAGAGTTGATGCAGTAAGGCGTTTTTGTTTATTTGTTTTAAGTTATTTTTACAATGAGAAAAAAATATTTAAAGAAATTTAAATTTAAAGTCTTGAATTGCAAATCTTTACAACTAGTGCACTACTTTGCACTAAACCACATTGTGCTCTTCAGATTGTTTCCAAAACTCAGTAGCGAAGGGCAATCAACTATTTTCTCTGACAAAATGTTAGTTGCTCCCCTCTGACAGGACTCTAAGATGGTCTGGGGGGCTGCCAATATCCTGAACTTATTTTGATTCCTGCACTAATTAGAATTTGGCTGAAAAAATGCAACAAAGATATTGACATCAAGCCTAACTATAAATTTTTAAAACTTTATTGTATAGTAATAAAAAATAAAAATTTTATGACATTCTTAATAAGATAAAATAAGATAAAATTTATTAATTGATTGTCATTCAAGATTATTGTTTATCTAAAGCATAACTATGCAGGCTCATGTGATCCCTTCTCTGTTCTTGTAGAAAAAAGGATTAGTAGAAACTGACCTTTATTATTATTAAATTATGTGCAGTAAATTGAGTGGAGTATTTATTAAAAAGTAAATAAAGGTATTTTTATATTATGTTTATTGCAGCAGTGTATAGCATATATACATATATATATATATATATATATATATATATATATATATATATATATATATATATATATATATATATATATATATATATATATATATATATATATATATATATATATATATATATATATATATATATATACAGAGTCAGCTCGTGAGCATTTCTTAGTGTGTGCAAAAAAATAAAATGCCGCCCTTAATTATGATCAAATTTTATTAGAATGACATGTTTTTCTGGCAATTTTACATTTAATGTTGACCTTAAAATTTGCCGCCTGTGTGCTTTGCACACTTCGCCCACGCCACCAGCCGACACTGTATATATATATATATATACATATATATATATATATATATATATATATATATATATATATATATATATATATATATATATATAT